CGGAAAAAGAGGACGACAGCGGAGGAGAAACCGCCTTTTCAAAACCAGAAATCACGGGCGTGGCAGGCTCAGTCAATACTTCCACTCCGGGCCCCCGGTCCAAGTTCACCTTGCTTTGAGCACCATCGCCCTGCAAAGGTATCTCTTGCTTATTGTTATCATTGTTTAGCCCAGAAGCTAGCAACCCTTCTCCCTCTCCAAAGGGGCACGGCCTCGCCTCAGAAGGCTCCCCGATGCCTGCAATAACAGGGTTAGTACGCAAAAAGAGAAAGTGTTTTTCTAACTGAAAAAAGAGAAGGGAACAAATCGCATAGCACATACCATGATGTTTTGCCTCCCATATGCCCCTAGACAAAGCTCGCCACTTATGCTCATCGCAGGTCGAGAGGGCCGCCAACCTTCGAGCCCAATTTGGCAGATCGGGGACCTTGCACGGCATCCATGAAGTTGCTGCAGAAGAGGGAAAGAAGGGACATTTACGGAACACTCCTTCGCCGTAACTAAAAAGTTGCGAAGGCACGAGTGTACAACTTACGTGTATAATTCCATCCCTCAGGGAATGGCATAAACTCCACGGGGATAATATCGACAATCCGTACTCGGACGAATTGACTCATCCACGCCCGATCTCCGTCTTCTTCATCATCAACAGCGAAAGGCGTGGCCGACCGGCATCGTAAGGTTAACAGACCTCGATGGTGAAAAGGTCGGTACAGCCTGATAACATGGCTAAGAGTGAATTCATGCCCCGCCTTCTCCGTAAAGAACCTCATCGTCAATACTATCCGCCAAAATGACGGATGAATCTGCGCCAAGGTGACCCGGTATTTCCGACAGAAATCAAGCACAACCCTATCAGGGCGGCCTAGCGTGAAGAGGTACGTATATACGTTCAAAAACCCCTCAGCATGGTCCATAATGCTCTCTCCCGGGGAAAGTATGCGCAATACTACTTTCTCCCCCCATCCACAGTGTCTCCTCACTGATTCGAGATGCTCCTCTCCTATTAAAGAAATGGGCTTCGAGGCATAATCCCGATAACCTCGAACACTGTGAGTCTCTTCTGGCAAGAGACTCCCTCCCGAAGCAAAGTTCCCAGAGGCAGAGCTCTTTTCTCCTTGCCGAGCGGGTTCGGGCATAGCAGTGCTATAGTGAAACAAAGGAAGAGGAAATGAAGACTTGGGCGAAAGCTTTGAGTTAAAGGAAAATTGGTGCAAGAAAGGAGAACTCTATGAAAGAGGATAACTACTCAGAATAGCAGAGTCTCCAAAAAGGCAAAGACAATCCTATATATGGAAAAAGCGGCGATCACCCGCCTGCCTCAAAGGCTGATTAAAAATGTTGGCTAAAGCTTTTGTCGCTTTGGAAAGATATGCCGGCGGAGTCGATTCGGCCATTTCGTAACCATATCCTACACTCGACGTTGCCATACGATGCTCCAAGGTCGAAAACCTCGCATCAGCCAAGTCCCGAGGTGGTACCCGACCTCGAGGACCTCCATCAAAAAGAAGTTAGGCTCCAAGAAACCATTGTCATCATTTCAAGTCCCAAGGCGGTATCCGACCTCAAGGACCTCCATCAAAAAGAAGTTAGGCTCCAAGAACCATTGGCATCATTGCAAGTCCCGAGGTGGTACCCGACCTCGAGGACCTCCATTAAAAAGAAGTTAGGCTCCAAGAAGCCATTGGCATCATCGCAAGTCCCAAGGTGGTACCCGACCTCGAGGACCTCCATCAAAAATAAGTTAGGCTCCAAGAAGCCATCGGCATCATTGCAAGTCTCGAGGTGGTACCCGACCTCGAGAACTTTCATAAAAAGAAGTTAGGCTCCAGGAAGCCATTGGCATCGTTGCAAGTCCCGAGTTGGTACCCGACCTCAAGGACCTCCATCAGAAAGAAGATAGGCTCCAAGTAAATCATTAATATCACTACATGTCCCGAGATGGTATCCGATCTCGAGGACCTCCGTCAAAAGGGAGATAAGCTCTAAAAACCTACTCACATGGGCTTGGCCTCGGGATACAATCTAAGTCCGAGTAAACCCCCATCCGGGATCTATCTACAACGCCTTAAGGCTATCTACACTAAGTTCGAAATGAGTTCCCAGGTGGCCCGAGTTCGAGCAAGCCCCCACTCGGGGACTGCTCTCGAAAGTCTAAAGGTAGTCTCTATTCTCGGACCTCCGAGCAAAAGCCCCCCCCCCCCTCGAAGATTATCACAGGGTCCAAAGGCTAAGTCTCGGTCTAAGGGTTCGAAGCCCTATTCTCATTCGACTCGAAGTCAGGGTCCCGGCGACCCGAGTTTATCAGTCCAATACGGGCTCGACCCAAGGAAAGGCAAAAAATTCCGAGGGGAATCGTATTAATCAGTCAAAGTCATAAGAAACACTCGCACCCGGGCTCGATATTTGCACCAATCGGTAGGGTCAAGCACCCAGATTTTTCACAAGCATAGATAAAGGGAAATATAGCATACAACAGGAACAAATTGAAGGAACATCTTTGTATTCATAAGCACTTGATTACAAAAGCCCACGAAAGGTCCTTACATATGATTACAAAAGCCCACGAAGGGTCCTTACATAGAAACAAAGAAGCAAAAAGGTGTACATATGTAATTCAAGCCTAGAGCATGGCCTATTCTCGGGGAGTATCTTCGGCGGTAGTATCCTCGAGCGCCATTCCCTCGGGGGTCTCATCTCGGTTTCCCAAAGCGGTATCTTCAAGGGAGAAGATGAATAAGAGGAAAGTGTTAGAGAAGAGGAAAGTGACGCAGAAGAAGCGGAAAGGAATAAAGAAGTGGTTGGGCGATAAACTTGGCTAGTATGGATTTCACCAGTAAGCCACTTCTTGATACGTTACCCTGGTGAGGGATGCGACAGTTGGTAGATATTTCCACCTTACTCCATGGAAAGCAAGAGGAGTGAGGCGCCGCACCGGGTAGTCGGGGGAGGTGAGCAGCGGTGTAAAGTCCGAACACCCCCCTGAGCAGCGATGTAGAGTCCAAACATTTTCCCGAGCCAGGATAAATCGGCCCCCTACCTCGTCGTCTCGAGCCAACGACGACAGCAACAACAACAACAACAACAACAACAACAATGACAAGACGGTGTAATCTCGCTCAACAAGAAACGGCCCAAAAAAAAGGCTATGGCGTGGCTGGTGGGGACGCCGCCAAGTATCCTTAAGGCAGTGGGCCTCAAACATGATGGACAACAATGGATGAGGACGATGAAAAGAGAAGGATGGATAGTTATTGGAAGACACTTGAATAAAAGTTGATTCCAGGGGGTTCCCATTTATAGGAAGGTCGGCAGCGTAACCGACGGTGCCATTATTGTCTTTGAAAGACATATCGGCAGGCGCATTTAATGTGTCATTGGGAGCAGAACCAGCGGTGACATTAATTCTTTGAAGAATAAGGAATGGTAATGCTATGAACGATTCTAGGAAGATGGAATGACGGGACGTCTCGGTTATCACGGAGGCTTACGTCATCAGTATGACGTCATCGCAGGAAATCCAGAAAGCTAGTTATCAAGGTCGTTTCTTATCGTTCTACTCTAAGAAACGCGGGGTTTATGTGTATACGGTGAAATCGGAGGGTCCGATTTCCCATCGTTACGACACCTCAAAGGCTCAAAACCACGATCGAGTTTCAACCCTCGAGGGCCATCAATGCTCGACCTCGGAGCAAAACGGACCGACGGTTACAGGGAGAGAGTGGGAAGTTCCCTAGGAGCACAACTAAGGCTGACAAAACCTAGAGGTCTTGCCCTGACCCGTATCTGGGCATTAAGTGGCTATACCTGCCCATATCTTTATAATTAATGCACTTTGTACTATGTTGGGATTCCTCTTCGTATATAAAGGGGATCCTAGTCATTTTGGGGAAGATATGTTGTTCCATACTAAAATACACAAGAACATTCTCTCTGCTCTCTAACATATTCTCCTGAGTTCATTACTTCATTTATTGCTTACATTCATTGTGTTCCATTTATTGTTCATCATTTATTGCTTATTATTGGCCATAAAGAGTTGTCATTGATTTTGCTCTAACTATTAGTCGCCCATCGATTACCCCCGATATCTCCCAGCCGAGCCTCAGGCTCGCCCTCGAAGCCCCGAACAAGTAATCTCAAGGCCCCGATCGATAGTCATCTGGTTTGGTTAATCTCTGGTTCTTGAGCTCTTATCTCGCTTTTAATTCTTACACATAGCATCAACTGCTTAACAACTAGCATAAAAATAGATCACGTATTTTTAGAATCCCATAATCAAATTTAATTGTTATTACAATTTTTACGGTAAACATCAAGTATTCACTACTGGATCTAGCGTGCGGCGGACGTCAAAATCGGTTGGAGGCGGCGGGAAATTGACTAAGATTACTACGACAGCACGGACTTGACAATTACGATGATTCACCCAAGTTCCGCACTAATCGGGAGTTAGTAACTCCTGTTCTTCGTTTAATATCTCTGTTTCTCTTGTTAGTATGCAATTAGTTTTCGCTAGTTTAATCCTAATTCTTGATTGCCTATAATTATTTAGTGCATCTTCCTGGGTATTTTTCTTGCTAGTAACTACTTAGGGATTTCTTGACTGTAATTTGATTTCTTAGTAGCTGTTCTGTTGGCCTTTTCTAGATATCTATTATTATCACTAGTTTAATTCTTGCTTGTCTGTTTGTCTTATCTGTACGCATTTCTAGTGGTTGGAGTTGTAAGTGTTAAACATGCCTTATTTAGTTTAATCCTTTATTTGTTTTAGCGACAGTTCTAGCGTAATTTTTGGTAGATTATAGTGGCTGGGGTGAGTGATGGTGGAATAAAGTCGCGTCCTCGGGTTGGGTGGGGGCGGGGGGAAAAGGTGGCAAGGGAGTCTCTAGGCTGAGAGTGGGGTCCTAGAACATAGGAACTTTGACGGGGAAGTCTATAGAGTTAGCGAAGATCCTCGAGAAGAGGAAGATCAACATAGCTTGTGTCCAGGAGACTAGATGGGTGAGTTCAAAGGCTCGAGATGCTGATGGGATTAAATTTTGGGTCTCAGGACGTGAGAGGGGTAAGAATGAGTTAGGTATCTTGGTTGACAGGGATCTTAGGGAGCTAGTGGTAGAAGTTAGGAGGGTGAACGACAGGTTGATGGCTATTATGCTAGTTGTTGGAGGGTCTGCTTTAAATCTGATTAGTGCTTACGCGCCTCTAGTGGGTTTGGATGAGGAGATAAAGAGGTGCTTCTGGGAAGAATTTGACGGGTTAGTACGTGGCATTCCACTCACCAAGAAGTTATTCATAGGAGGTGACTTCAATGGTCACATTGGGGTGACATCTGGGGGGTATAACGATGTGCATGGCGGCTTTGGCTTTGGAGTTAGGAAAGGAGGAGGTACTTTGTTGTTGGACTGTGCTAACGCCTTCGATTTGGTGATTGCCAACTCGTATTTTTCGAAAAGGGATGAGCACTTAGTTACATACTGGAGTTAATTAGCCAAGACTCAAATTGATTACCTACTCCTCCGGAAGTGCAATGGGAGTCTATGCATGGATTGCAAGGTTATACCAAGCGAGAATCTCGCGACTAAGCATAGATTAATTGTGATAGACTTAGAGATCGTGAGGAAGTGGAGGAAGAGGGTCGTGTATGGTCAATCCAAGCTCAGGTGGGGTGCTTTGACTAGTGACAAAGCACAGGAGTGGGGGGGGGGGTAGTTGTTGGCTATGGGAGCCTAGAGGAGCAGTAGGGATGCGAGCTGTATGTGGACCCTGACAACAAAGTGTATTAGAGTAGCTGCGAGAGAAGTGTTAGGGGTCTCGAAGGGTTTCTCTAGCGGCCACAAATGTTAATGGTGGTGGAGTGAGGAGGTACTAAAGAAAGTGGAAGCCAAGCAAGTGGCGTACTTGACGCTTACAGAGAGCATGGACGAGGAGGTGAAGAGGATGTACAGGGAGGGGTATAGGAGGGCTAAGAATGAGGCGAAGTTAGCGGTTATTGCGGCTAAGACTGCGGCATTTGGGTGTTTGTTTGAAGACCTTGGGGCCAAAGGCGGGGACAAGAAGCTATTAAGTGTAAAAAATATTAGGAAGGTAGAATTTTGTTGGAAGAGGCTCGGATTAGACGAAGATGGCAGACATATTTCCATAAACTCCTGAACGAAGAGGATGATAGGGACATTGTGTTAGGCGACTTGGAGCACTCCAAGATGCGTCTGGATTTCGGGTATTATAGGCGTATAAGAGTAGAGGAGGTTGAGGGGGCTATGCGTAAGATGCACAGGGATAGAGCTACCGGGCCAGATGAAATATCTGTGGAATTTTGGAAGAGTGCGGGTATGGCAGGTTTAGAATGGCTCACTAGGCTGTTCAACATTATTTTTAGAACAAAGAAGATGCCCGATGAATGGAGGTGGAGTACGATGATTCCTCTGTATGAAAACAAGGGCGATATCCAAAGTTGCAATAATTATAGGGGGATTAAGCTGCTAATCCATACTATGAAAGTTTGAGAGATCGTGATTGAAGTAAGGGTGAGGACCAGTGTGTCCATTTTTGAGAAGCAGTTCAGTTTCATGCCGAGGCATTCGACTATAGAAGACATTCACATTATGAGGAGATTGGTGGAGCGGTATAGGGAGATGAAGAAGGACTTGCACATGGTTTTTATTGACCTAGAGAAAGTATATGACAAAGTCCCGAGAGAGGTGCTCTGGCGATTCTTGGAGGCTAAAAGGGTCCCAGTAGCCTACATTAGGGTGATTAAGGACATGTATGCTGAAGCTAAGACTCGGGTTAGGGCAGCAGGAGGAGACTCGGAACACTTTCCGGTTATGATGGGTTGCACCAAGGATCAGCTCTTATAACTCTTATTTTCCTTGCCGATGGACGCATTGACAAGACACGTTCAAGGTGAGGTGCCATGGTGTATATTATTTTCGGATGACATAGTTTTAATTGACGATACACGGAGTGGTGTTAACGAGAGGCTGGAGGTTTGGAGGCGGACCCTAGAGTCTAAGGGTTTCAAGTTGAGCAGTACCAAGACAGAATACATGGAGTGCAAAATAAGCAACGGTACCAGGAAGGGGAAATGGAGGTGAGGCTTGATGCGCAAGTCATCCCCAAGAGAGGTAGTTTCAAGTATCCTGGGTTATAATACAAGGTAACGAGGACATAGATGAAGATGTCACACATCGTATCAGAGCAGGATGGATGAAGTGAAGGCTCACTTCCGGTGTCTTGTGTGATAAGAATGTGTCGCTGAGACTTAAAGGACAGTTCTACAAGGTTGTAGTTAGACCGACTATGTTGTATGAATCAAAGTGTTGGCCGGTCAAGAACTTTCATACCCAGAAGCTAAAAGTAGCTGAGATGAGGATGTTGAAGTGGATGTGTGGGCATACTCGGTTGGATTAGATTAGGAATGAAGTTATTCGAGAAAAGGTGGGAGTGTCCCTTGTGTAGGATAAGATGCGGGAGGCGAGGTTGAGATGGTTCGGGCATGTTAAGAGGAGAAGTATAGAAGCCCTAGTTAGAATGTGCGAGCGGTTAGTCTCGGTGGACAGCAGGAGGGGTAGAGGTAGGCCTAAGAAGTCTTGGAGAGAGGTTATTAGGCGGGACATGACATAGATAGAACTGACTGAGGACATGGCCCTAGACAGGAGGGTGTGGAGGTCAAAGATTAGGGTAGAAGGTTCGTAGGTAGTCGAGCGTTTCTCTTTGTCTTACTTTGTTTGCTAGCATTAGTATTAGTATGATATCTTTTATTCATAGATGGCTATTACTACCTAGATTTTGACTGCATTCTTGGATTCGATCTTATTTCATCTTGTTATTCCTACTTGTCGCAATTACCTTTTTTCAATCGTTCTCTAGCCGAGGGTCTATCGGAAACAGTCTCTCTGCCCTTCCAGGGGTAGGGGTAAGGCTGCATACATCTTACCCTCCCCAGACCCCACTTGTGAAAAACTACTGGGTTTGTTGTTGTTGTTGTAAATTCAAATTATATAATATAAGTTTTTTAAAAACAAATAAAAAATAGTGAACGATTAAGCATACCAAGCATTGACCGAAAATCCATTCAATCTTGAACAACCGACTCACGTGCAGCTCTTTCAATAAGTCCGTAGTACTATACATCTTTGCTAAAGGTAAGAGTACTGATATCTTTTGGATGATTTCAAAATTCATCGTAACTGACAAAGAATAAATAAAAATTGTTTGGCATTATTCTTTTCCATAGAATTATAATCTAAATTTTTCATATAATTAATTGTCTTAATAAAATTAAAAAATTAAAATAGAGAAAGGTCAAGCAGAAAATTATAACTAAAGTCAATAATATTGGTCGACACTTTTTCGATTTTCTTATTCTCAATTGAAGATTTATAGGTGGTCATCAAATTAAAACTAACTAATCTTATGTAATTCAATTATCTTAGTAAAAGTTGTTTATATTAAAAGTACGAAGACCCTTAACTAAATGTTGTTTGCATTTTTTATCCATTAAAAATAGATTTCACACTGGACAACATAGTCATTTAATTATTTTTGTAATATTTAATACTATAAATAGTTTTCTAATATTTAAGATTTTAACTATTTTTCTAATAGTATGACTTAAAAATTTACTAAATGTTGTGTATTAATTTGTATATTTGATATATGTAATATATACCATATTTGTAAAAGAAAGCACGTTTCTAGATTCAAAAGCTTAAAAGGCCATTGCAAATTCACATAATCAGGATTTCTAAGGCATTAAAAATATCGTTTCTGTAACGAACCGGCCGGTCGTTTTGAGAATTAACACTCCGATCCCCTATTAACTGCTTTCCCATATCTATTTTCTGCTATTGTGATTTGCCGGGATGATTCGTTTTGAGTTTTAGAGTGTTTTGGGACACTTAGCCCTCATTTATTTTTATTAAGATTAAGACGTCTGAATCTGAATACACATCTGAATGTCAAGATGTGTATTAAGATTAAGACATCTTAATCTGAATATACATATGAATATATTAAGATGTGTATTAAGATCTGAATATAAATAATTAAGACTGTTTGATTTTTAACATCTGAATGAATAAAATTTATCTTTATTTGAAAATTAATAAACATAAAATTCAAATGAAATACTAACTAATCCAATATTCTATCAATAAAGTATATAGTTTTTTAAAATATGACAGTTGTTGGTGGTGATGGCTAACGGATGAATGCCGACTAGAGGCGGTGGTTTGTGGTATTTTTGGTTGATGATGGTGGTTCGTCCTAGTAGCTAGTAGTGGTGGCAATTATGATTGAGGATGGTGGTGGTAGTGGTGATAGTTAATAATGGCGGGTGGTGGTAGTAGTTGTGACTGAGGAAGGTGGTGAGTGGGTGATGGTAGGTTATAATGATGGACAGTCCCGGTTGTGGTTGTTGATGGTGATGGAGTGGTCAGTTGTGGTGGCTAAAGTGGATGACTGTTGATTGTGGGTGAGAATGCTATATGGTGGTCGGAGTGGTGGGGATAGTGGGTGGTGATGGTCGATAATGCTGGCGACTATGATTGAGGATTATGGTGGCGTGGTGGTGGTGGTGGTGGTGGTGGTGGTGGTGGTGGTGGTAGTGGTAGTGGTTGAGTATGATGGTGGCGGGGCACGGTGGTAGTTGATAATGGTAGGCGCTGGCGGCAGTTAATAATGAATATGTGATAGCATCTTAATGAAATTAAGTCTCTGTTATAGATCTTAATCATACGGACCTATTCAGACCCATTAAGTGATTGTGAAGTAAAAAAAAAACACACTAAATGATTAAGATCTGAATAATTAAAATTCAGACTTTAAAAACAAATGCACTTAATGTCTGAGATCTTAATGATTAAGATTCAGACCTCCATTAAGTGCAAACAAATGAGGCCTAATAGTCCCTAAATGAGAGCTTAAGTCTTAGAATTTGGACCGTAGTTGGAACAGTGTGAAGACGGCTCCGGAATAAAATTCCGTCGATTCCATTAGCTCTGTTGGGTGATTTTGGGCTTAGGGGCGTGTCTGGATTGTGTTTTTGTAGTCCGTAGCTCATTTAGGCTTGAAATGGCGAAAGTTGAATTTTTGGAGTTTCGGGCCGATAGTGAAATTTTTGATATCGGGGTCGGAATCCAATTTCGGAAGTTGGATTAGGTCCGTAGTGTTGAATATGACTTGTGTGCAAAATTTGGGATCAATCGAACGTGGTCTGGTCGGTTTCGGCATCTGTTGTAGAATTTTGAAATTTCAAGTTCATTGAGTTTGGATTGGAGGGTGATTTGTGATTTTAGCATTGTTTTATGTGATTTGAGGGCTCGACTAAGTTCGTATGGTATTTCAGGATTTGTTGGTCTGTTTGGTTGAGGTCCCGGGGGCCTCGGGTGTGTTTCGGATGCTCAAAGGGACATTTTTGGACTTAAAAAATTGGCAGATTTTGCTGGTGTTTCTGTTGTAGAAAATCCTTCTTCGTGATCGCG